TATTAAAACCCGGCATATAAAGATAGCGCAAGAGATTTGCTGGTTTGCCCATTTCTGGAATGGCTGATTTACTAATGTGGTAACGGCCACCAATTACAGTTGAGAATTTTTGTGAATGACCAAGTAGATCATTAAATATTGCAACAAGTCAAATACTACTGAGCAAAGTACATTTCTATAGTAGTCACTGACCTTACTGCATTCTAACTTAAAATGGCCTGTGCTGTCTGGTAGCCAAGAAGAGCTGTGCACTAAACTGCCTCTGCTTGAATTTAGGGTGGAATCTTTTTCTTATTGAGTCATAGGATTTCTTTTATCTATCTATCTATCTATCTATCTATCTATCTATCTATCTATCTATCATCTATCTATTTATTTATTTGGCGAGGCGACCCTTGGTTGACCTCACAGATTGCAAGGACCTGGTCAGTTTACAATCCCTTATTTTTTTATTTTTGGTCTTCCTAGGTGGTCTCCCCTCCAAGTACTAACCAGGCCTGACCCTGCTTAGCTTCTGAGATCCGGCGGGATCAGGCACGTTCAGGGCGGCATGAGCGTAGACTAGGATTTCTTTTTATGTTCTGGATATAAGCCCTTTCTTGAAAATATGTGTTGTGAATATCTTTTCCTAGTCTTGGCTTGCCTCTGCACTCTTAATGGTGTCTTTTAATGAGCATAATCTCTTAATTTTAATGAAGTGCAATTTAATCTGTCTTTTATGGTTAGTGCTCTCTTTGTCTTGTTTAAGAAATCTTTGACTTACTGTGTTTTTGACTGTTGCCCATTCACAGTTTTCCCATTAGTACCATTTCTTTGTTATATTATTTCTTAGCAAATTTCCTGTTTTGTCTGCTCTGTATTTCTGACCTCTTGCCTGCTGGGATCCCATCACATTCTGTATTCTTCAAAGCCTTTCTTATCTATCCAGATCAATGATCTGCTGACTGATAGATCTCTTATTAGCTTATTAGTTCCTGTTTCTTGGGTCTGCCTATGCAGTTTTTTTCTGGTTTGCCCATTCACAGTTTTCCCATTAGTACCATTTCTTACAACTAACTATCCTTTCTCTGATTTGGTGTCGCCGTTCTCGGAGGAAGACGATGTCATTGTCTTGATGTGGTCTTAAGCGGAAGATCTCTGTGGAAATACACAATCAGGAAAACTTTACACGTGTCCTTGGTCCTGAGTTGGAGGGCACTGGGGTCAAACTTGGGAAGAGGAAAAGATCAGAGAAGCAGTTGGGATCCACATGATTGACAGAGCTGGGAGCCAGCAGGCACAACGGAGTGTGGACAATCCAGAGAGCAGGTTAAATTGAGAACTTTAAAGCCGAAAAGAGTAAAAAGAGCTCCATTCTCCTACTTTTTTGGTTATCTGATTAAGGCAGCATGAATGCTATGGCTGGGAAGCGCTGGGGTTTTCAGGTGGAGAGATCGCCATGGAGGGGCCGGCAGCATCTTCCTGGAAGACTGCATCTCTCCTGCCATCTTCACTCCTGCCATCTTCTGAATGGTGGCATGTAGTGGCTTTGTCCTTAAGCATGAGCCCTCAGCACCAGGGAAGCCGAGGAAACTCAACCTACCCTAGTAATGACAGGCAAACACAAGTAGCTAATGGCAGGTAAATACAGCCACCGGCACCTTTGGAACGAGTGTAGCAGGTTTTACCTGTTAAAGTTCCCCTTAGAATTAGGAGCATGTGCAGAAAAAAGTTACATAGCAGGCCTGAGACGGTGGTCCCCAGAAAGGCCTGCTTCCAGGATTGGCCCTTGGCTGGCGTCTGGGAACTTGGATCTCAGGAGAGTCCCCACCGCTCTTAGAACTGATCAGAGTGGCTCCCTGTGCTTGACTGTACCAACAGCGTGGATGAGCTGAACACCTGCTTTTCCCCTGGGAATTTAGGATTTTGGTACGTGGCAGGCAGAGGATGCTCATGTGGCTGGTCCCCAACAAAAAACCCTGGGCGCCGAGTTTCCCTGGTGGACAACACTTCATTCATGTCGTCACAACTCATTGCTGGGGCAATTCAGTGCGTCCTGTGTGACTCCACTGGGAGAGGCCTCTGGCAGCTAGCTGGTGGCTTGTTACTCCCGACTTCGCCCTACATGCCTGTTCCTCTTGCTGCTCTTGTTCTGTATCCTCTCACGGTAGTAAATCACAGCCACGAGTGTAGCTATGTGCTGAGTCCATGAGTTCTCCTAGTGGATTACCAACCTGGGCTGTTCTCAGAGACCTCCAACTCAGAGAAGTATAAAAACAACACATCTCTTGGAGCACAGAGAGGTAGGCAACTTTGAGTTTCTCAAGAGTGAGTTGACATCTGTCCTCTCAGTAGACACATTTCAGAATTCTCTTGAACCCCCATCATGAAGCTGGGGCTTGGAAAGTGCGAAGCTAGAGAGGCGGGGACTCAAAAATGGAAAAGCTCTCTCCCCAGAAATCTCCTCTCCAATTCCCTTACCTAACCTCTAACGTCCCTACACTATCTCATTCCATCCTCACTTATCCTAAGAGGGAGGAATGCTTAAGTTGAACCATATGAAACTGCCCTTTCCGTAGATGGAAAACAGTCGAATATTGGCAATTTTACATAATATTATCACCAACACCATTATACAGATGAGGAAACTGAGGTTTAGGAAGGTTAAGTCATTTGTTCAAGGCCACACATTTAGTGAATCATGGAGCGTGGATCTGATGTGGGGCTAGACTCCATAACCTGTCATTCTAACTGCAGCGACAGGCTGCTATCCATGGAAACAGGGTTTCCTGTTGGGTGATGGTAAGAGATAAAGCTGGAAAAGTATGGCTTTTCCGGCTGTGGCAGCCATGGGGATATCGCTGTAGATAAAAAGGCTTAAGGTGGGGGAGCGAAGAGTAGGATAAACAGGGACATGCTATGAAGGCAGGAAGGCGAGTAGGCTGCTGTAGAAATCAGATGACACCAGGATTAGGAGAGGCTGGCAGGTAACTGGAGAGGAAGGAATGATCAGAGAGACACTTCGTGTTTTTTGTCTCCTCTCCTGGGCACATAGTAGTTGCTCAATACATGCTCATTAAATAAGAACAGAACTAAACAGACAAGGTTAGAATTTGCTCCTAGGTGGTGAGGAATGACCACATTGAAACTATGGGGTTTCAGGAGCAGTTTAAATGCAAGCCAGTGTATTGTGAATGATTCCTGTAATGTATATAGTGACACCTACTGCCAATAAAATATGCTGTGACCCATCCACTGCTGACTTCTCTGTATGCTTTGCTCCTACCTTTACCTAAGTGGAGTGTTGAGTGGAAACTTGAACACACATCTTTATGCAGGGACAGCTGTAGGTAAGCTGTGGGCTTAAGAAGCACATTTGTGAAAAGCATATGAGTATAAATATATACAGCAGGCTGTTTTAAGAACTTCTTATGTCTTAGGTACTCTGAGTTCTGGAAGCTCATTGCACATCCTAACAAACATATTAAAATACCTCCATATTATCTAAATACTCTTTAAGAATTTAACCTTTAAAAAACAGTTTTTCAAATTAAAATTATTTGGTGACAGGGAACTCAGTTAATGTATGATTGCTGTGACTTCTCAGCAATCACGGTACTAGGAAGTTTTCACTAAGTGATTTCTAACTTACACACGGTTTTCAAATATAATGAAATGTTTATCAATAAATAAATTACAGTTATGAAGTGGACATGTTACGTTATGAGGATCCTTCTTTGAACATTTATGAATTTTAAATTCGTAGAGTACTTATTGCATTCGGAGGCCAATAAAATTTTTTTCAGTCTCAAACTTTTTCATAGGTCTTTGAAAAACCTAATGAATAAAATGGACCTGTAAATATTGCTGCTTCTGTATGACTGGCCAACTAGGCGATAAAAGTCAGTTAAGACTCTCCCTTGCCTCTATTCTAGGTGTACCTCAGAATAGAACATGGGAAAACTTGCCTTTCCCTTCTGTTTCCAAGACTTTGTCCTCATTTCTTTTACAAGTGCTGTTCCCTCACTCCACTCTCATACGTACAATAAATGCCAGCTAACATCAAGGAGAGGCTGCAAACTGAAGCCATAGATACACAGGGACCCTTCCTCAACACAACTGATGTTTTCTGGGGAAAAGGTTTATGATGAAAATTTCCCTAATTGGACGTTCTAGCGCTAACATGCTAGACACTCCTGTTTTGATTTCTGATCTTCAGAGGGCAGTGGTTTCAGACACGTTTGTTTTGTTTTGTTTTGAGCTGGGGATTTTTCTCCTGCCACTCTGGGTCAAGTGCCGATGATGAATGGTCATCTAGGACCCGGTCTGTAAGTGACCGGTCCTTTCCGCATCTCAGGTGGACTGTTTGCCACTATCTGGACATGTTACTAGGGGCTTCATCCTGACTGGGGAGGCCTCCTACGCAGCTCCGGAACTTCGGCCACATTTGATGAGATAACAGGCTGGGTGGGTATAGGGGGTCACTCCGCGGGGACTGTCTGAGCATTGACCTCTGGGTCCCCACCATTTCAGCCTTGACCTCTGCTATCTGACCTCCACCTCGGACCCTAACTCCGCCATCTGACACCCACCATCTGACAGCCCTGACCTCCCCCATCCGGCCTCCACCTGGGCCCTAACAGCCAGGCATCGCCTTGACCTCTGCCACCTGACACCCATTATTCTCCCTGATCTTGACCTGAGCCGGTGGACGCCCCCGCGGCCCCGCGGGAATTCCAGCGGGCAACCCCATCCCGCGCCGCCCCCGGGACCCCCAGCGCGGACCCCGGAAGACGCCCGAACCTTCAGCCTTCGCAGTCTCAGCCCAAACTGATTTCTCGGAAAGCCGAGCTCTTCGAAGAAGGCGGGCCGGGTGGGCCGCGCCCATTGGGAGGTCTCCCGCGCCTATTGGCCAGCGCGGCTGTCGCTCGGAGCACCGGGCCCTCCTCGCTCTTAGACCCTCGCGGG